GCTGCTGCTGCTGCTGCTGCTGCTGCTCCTGCTGCTCCTGCTGCTGCTGCTGCAGTGCCATCTTACTATAACCCAACGCCGACATCTGCCGCCCCTCCAGCCGTCCATGCTGCAGCAGTCCTTGTCCGTACCTCCTGGCCGGTGGCTTCTTGATCGTTCTGTGCAGCTCTTGAGCATTCTTTCCAGCTGGAAATATTGGCTGGATTGTTGACGCACGCAGGAGTTGCTTGCCCAGCTTTCCAGCTCCCATTCTTCTGTGATCATGGGACTGTGATCGCCTCACCCCGTGCCGAGGGATAGATGAATTCGGTTCAAAAGAGATGGCCAGGGATGATGCCAACGCAGACACATCAGGACCAGCAACAACACCAAAAGCACCAGCCATACCAACAGCACCAGCCATACCAACAACAGGTGCAACACCAGCAAAGCCACCAGCAACACCGGAAGCAATGGTAGTGTTCAAGCCATTCCCACCACTAGCACCGCTCCCACCACCCACACCACCGATGTTGCCCTCACACGGCAGGGTATCAGGGGCTGAATTATTGATGACAGGTGGCTCCAGGGGGAAAGATACAGTGTAGCTCCGAGGCACCAGAGGTGCAGGTTTGGAACGATGCTTAAAATGAGGCTTGGGTTGAGGGTCGGACCAAGGAGGGCTTGAAAGGATGGAATCTGTGTTGTCTCTTTCCAAGTCTGAGGTGTGGCTTGTAAACGTCTGCTGCTCTCTCCACTCTTCCAGGGGGAAAGCTTCATGTATGAGGTATGCAGAAGCGGCCCCGCCGCCCTCAACTGCGGCCCCGCCGCCCTCAACTGCGGCCCCGCCGCCCTTCCCTGCGGCCCCACTGCTCTCACCTGCGGCCCCGCCGCTCTCACTTGCGGCCCCGCCGCTCTCACCTGCGGCCCCGCCGCTCTCATTGGCGGCCCCGCCGCTTTCTCCTGCGGCCCCGCTGCTCTCACCGGCGGCCCCGCCGCTCTCAACTGCGGCCCCGCCGCCCTTCCCTGCGGCCCCGCCGCTCTCACCTACGGCCCCGCCGCTCTCACCTGCGGCCCCGCCGCTCTCACCTGCGGCCCCGCCGCTCTCATCGGCGGCCCCGCCGCTTTCTCCTGCGGCCCCGCTGCTCTCATCGGCGGCCCCGCCGCTCTCACCTGCGGCCCCACCGCTCTCATCTGCGGCCCCGTCCCCTGCTGCAGCGCCGCCCGCCACCCGAGCTGCCCGACCCACCTCACCCAGCCGAGCAGCGGACCGCCACGCTGCCCTCCTGCAGCACCGCCGAGCTGCCCGGGCAACCGAGCAGACGGAAAGCCGAGCCGCCGAGCCGCCCAGCAGCCGAGTAGCCGAGCCGCCCAGCAGTCGAGCCGCCGTTCAGTCGAGCTGCCGGGCCGCCGAGCCGCACTGCAGCCGAGCCGCCCAGCCGCCCGGTAGCCGAGCCGCCGAGCCGCCAAGCCGCCCTACTGCCGAGCCGCCCGAGCTGCCCTGTCCGGTAAGCACAGTGCCTCTTTTACTGCAGTGTCCTCACCCTACTGTTTGCACTGCTAGTCTACTGTGGTCATGGCTACCCCTAGTGTCCTCGCTTTTGACGCTGAAGGTCGAGCCATTGACTTTGACGTCTGCGTAGATGACCTGCAACTGTTCTTACAGTGCGATAGGGCAGACGGTCTCTCTCTCTTTGACCTCACCTCTGGCGCCTCTCCTGCCCCTGCTGCTGATGCTAACGCCACTGTTCGCTCCCAGTGGGCCACACGCGACGCTGCTGCACATCTTGCTGTGCGTCGCCACCTCCCTACCTCCGAGTGTGCGCACTTTAGTTAGTATAAGAGTGCTCAGACCTTGTACGATGCTGTAGTTGCGCGCTACTCCTCCCCTGCCACTGCTGCATTGAGCCGACTCATGCTACCGTACCTCTTCCCTGACCTTGCTGCCTTTCCCACAGTCGCTAACCTCATTACGCACCTCCGCACTAGTGACACTCGCTACCGCGCTGCGCTTCCAGCTGGCTTCTGCGCCAAGAACCCCCCCCCCATGTACATCACCCTCTACTACATAGTCACCCGACTCCCTGACTCCCTTCGAGTAGTCAGGGACCACTTCCTCGCAGTGTGCCCCACCACTCTCACCGTTGACCTCCTCGAGAAGGCCCTCCTAGCGGCGGAGAAGAGTATAGTCGCTGTAGGAGCCTCTCGTGGTGACCCCCGCGCCCCTGTCTTTGAGGGGTGTTCTCCCTCCCCCCTCTTGCCCTCTGTTGCCTCTGCTGCTGCGGCCGACCTCACTGGTTTTGAGTCGGTCGGTGCTGCGTCTGCCCCTTCGGGGAAGCGCCGCACAGGCAAGGGCAAGGGGGGCAAGGGCGCTGGAGGGGCTGGCGGGGGCGGTGGAGGTGGCGGTGGAGGCGGCGGAGGGAGTGGGGGTGGTGGTGGGAGTGGTGGAGGGGGTGAGGGTACCGGTGGCAGCAGTGGAGGCGGAGGCGGCGGCGGTGGCGGAGGGAGCGGAGGCGGCGGCGGTAGCGGAGGCGGCGGTGGTGGGGGAGGCGGCGGTGGTGGCGGAGGCGGCGGAGGCGGCGGAGGTGGCGGTGGAGCCGGTCGCTGGTCTACGCAGAGGAGTGGCTCCGGTGGTGGTCCGCGCCAGCAGCAGCAGCGCGGTCGTTAGACCCTGTCCCCTCAGCAGCTCCATGAGTGGTACACTGCACGCCAGCGGGGTGGGGGTTTTGGTCCGTGCACCTACGTCCTGCACACCGGCGACCGTGCGGGTGAGCAGTGTGGGGGTGCGCACCCCACCCAGCGCTGCTTTGGCCGCCTGACGGACGCGTGGCGTCACCAATTCCCTGAGGCCACAGAGATCCCTCGCTGGGGCGAGCTGTCTAGGGCGGGAGTTGCCATATATAATCTTGATTTTGATGCTATTCTTTCTGCCATGTATGCTGTGACTATTAGTGATGAGGGTGACTGTTACCGGTGTTTCCCGCCTGATCCGGGCATTGAGACTGCTGCTCTAGGTACTGGTGAGGCTGCTGCCCTAGGTGCTTGCGACGCTGCTGCTCTAGGTGCTAGTGCGTATGAGTCCTCAGGTACTGGTGAGTCTGCGCTCTCAGGTACTGCGTCGGCTTCGGCCTCCCTCACCTTCACCCTTGACTCTGGGGCTTCTCGCTCCTTCTTTCGGGACCGCACCACACTCACGCCGCTTAGTCGGCCGGTTGCGGTGTCTCTGGCTGACCCCTCTGGGGGTCCTGTCCTTGCTCACTTCTCCACAGTCCTCCCGTGTCCGGCGGCTCCCTCTGGCAACCTATCTGGTCTCTACCTCCCCTCGTTCTCTACGAACTTGGTGAGTGGTGCTGACCTAAGGGATGGGGGAGTACACTCGTTCACTCCTGCGCGTCAGCGAGTGACGCACTGCACAGAGGCTCGCACGGGCCAACACTTGGCTACGTTTACACGTCAGCCGGGGTCGAGCCTGTACACACTGACCACCACGTCTCCTCCAATTGCTGAGTCTGGTAGGGTAGCTGCGTCGGGTCAGGTGTTTGCTGCAGCGTCCAGGTCTGGTCCTGAGTCTGCCCCCTGTTCGTGTCGTCTCCTGTCTAACGAGAATCTCCTCTGGCACCACCGCCTTGGTCACCCCTCTCTGCTTCGTCTCAGAGGCATGGCCTCCTGTCTTCTTGTTTTTGGTCTCCCCCGGTCCCTCCCTCCCCTTCCTCAGGGGCCTGGCCCTACCTGTGTCCCCTGTGTCGAGGGGCGCCAGCGGGCTGCCCCTCACTCCTCCCAGTTTCCTCCGACAGAGGCCCCACTGCAGGCGCTTCACATGGACGTGTGGGGCCCAGCCCGCGTCCGTGGACAGGGTCACGAGCGCTACTTCCTGCTCGTTGTTGACGACTACTCGCATTACACCACAGTCTTCCCGTTGCGCAGCAAGGGTGATTTCACTGAGGTGCTGATCGACTGGATCCACGCAGCTCGTCTCCAGCTCAGGCAGAGCTTTGGCTCGGACTTTCCTGTTCTGCGTCTGCACTCTAACAGAGGCAGAGAGTTTTCCTTCTGGCCTTCTGAGAGCCTACTGTCGCGCACGAGGCATCCGTCAGACCTTCACGCTTCCGGAATCTCCGCAGCAAAATGGGATTGCTGAGCGCCGCATTGGCATGGTCATGGACGTCGCTCGTACGTCCATGATGCATGCGGCTGCCCCCCATTTTCTGTGGCCGTTTGCGGTGAGGTACGCGGCGCATCAGATCAACCTTCACCCCAGGGTCTCCAGGCCGGAGACCTCCCCAGCCTTGCTGTGGACGGGGAAGGTTGGCGATGCGTCGGCGTTCCGGGTCTGGGGATCTCGGGCGTTTGTCCGCGACTTGTCTGCGGACAAGCTGTCCCCTCGTGCTGCTCCTTGCGTCTTCCTGGGGTTCCCCCCTGACGCGCCTGGGTGGCAGTTCTACCACCCCACCTCTCGCCGTGTTTTGTCCTCCCAAGACGTCACGTTTGACGAGTCGGTCCCCTACTACCACCTCTTCCCCTACCACACTCCGTCCCTCCCCCCCCCCCCCTGCTCTTCCTTGTACCAGGTCCCCCCCCGGTAGACCCCCTCCCCCCTTAGGGTCCTGCCCCTTCAGCTGTGTCCCAGGTAGACGCAGTCGAGCATGTCGAGGTTACTAGTGACCCTGGAGCTGCTGAGGGTGCTGAGTCTGGGGGTGCTGCGACTGGGGGTGCTGAGACTAGGGGTGCTGGGCCTGGGGGTGCTGAGCCTGGGAGTGCTGAGCCTGGGGGTGCTGAGACTGTGGGTGCTGAGCCTGGGGGTGCTGAGCCTGGGGGTGCTGAGCCTGGGGGTGCTGTGCCCGGGGGTGCTACGCCTAGGGGTGCTGTGCCTGGGGGTGCTGAGCTTGGAGGTGCTACGCCTAGAGGTTCTCCGGGTGCTTCGTCTCTGTGAGAGCCACTCTCTCCACAGGAGCTGCGCGAGTGGTTTGCCCGGCGCTGGAGCCGTGCTGCTGGAGCTGGAGGTTCTTCGGCTACTGAGGGTGCTGCTGTCGCGGGTCCCGGAGGTGCTCGTACTGGGAGTACAGGAGCTGCTGGGCCGGCGGGTTCGACTGGAGCTGCTGCTGCTGAGGGTGTTGGCGCTGAGACTACTCCTGGCGGTCCTGCTGGGATTACTACTGGTGCTGCTGCAGGTTCTGGAGCTGCTGGAGGTGCTGCTGGAGCGGGTGCTCCTGCTGGGGGTACTGGTGCTGTCCCTGCTCTGTCTAGCGTCGCCGCGCGGCCTCGACCGTACTTCGTTCCACTCCTGCAGCAGGTTCTTGGTCTTCCGCCTTCTACTGGTCCTCCTCCTTCTTTAGAGTGTCCACAACCTGTCCCGTCACAGCTACAGTTACAGCCTACCTCCCCTTTGCCTGCTCCTTCTCCCTACACTGGTCCTACTGGAGGTCTTGCTGAGCGTCGTGAGCCTGCGTCTCGCCCTGCGTCGCCTGTCCGTGCTGCTCGCACTAGTGGTCGTGGTTCGCGTCAGCGTCCTCCTCCTGTCCCTGGCACGCACCGGATGTCTCTGCGTCCGTCCACTGCTCCTCTGCGTGCCCCTTTGCCTTCTCCTCCTGAGTCCTTTCTTCCTGCTCTTGCCGACCCGGAGTCGGACTCTCTTCGTGCTGCCAGTCCTACTGTCACGCGTCTCCTTGCTACTGTCATCACTGAACCTTCTTTCGAGTCCACTGCTGCGTCTGCCCTAGTTGCTGAGCTCGTCGACTTTGCTGCTCGCTGTCGCCTAGACTACGCTGCCAGCCTTGTCGCTGAGTCTGAGTCTGTCTTTCCTCCGTCCGTCGGGGGTGAGTGTGCCCTTGGCACGGACGTCCTTGAGGACAGGCAGGAGGAGTTCCAGTGTCTGGCAGCTGCTTCACCTCATCTCGTGTCCGTACTGCTTACCCTTGAGGGAGACCCGGATGCACTTGACATCCCGACTCCGCGCTCTTACGAGGAGGTGATAGAGGGTCCCTACTCTTCTCAGTGGCAGGCAGCTATGGACACAGAGATGACTTCCTGGAAGTCCACAGGCACCTACGTTGATTAGGTTCCCCCGCCTGGGGCGAACATCGTCAGTGGCATGTGGATCTTCAGGGTGAAGCGGCCGCCGGGTTCTCCGCCTGTCTTCAAGGCGCGTTACGTGGCTCGTGGCTTCGGTCAGCGGCAGGGAGTTGACTACTTTCAGACCTTCTCTCCCACCCCGAAGATGACCACTCTTCGGGTACTGCTGCACGTTGCTCCTCACCGTGACTACAAGCTGCACTCTCTCGACTTCAGCACAGCTTTCTTGCAGGGCAGCCTGCACGAGGAGATCTGGCTGGGCGCCCACCTGGTTTCACTGGGTCGTTCCCTCCTGGTACCCAGTGGAGTCTCCGGCGTCTTGTCTACGGTCTCCGCCAGGCGCCACGTGAGTGGCACGACACACTGAGGACTACGCTTGCGGCTCTTGAGTTTGCTCCTTCTACTGCCGTCCCGTCGCTGTTTCTCCACACCGACACCTCTCTGCCGCCGTTCTACATCCTCGTGTACGTCGACGACTTGGTCTTTGCCACAGCTGACACTGCTGGACTCGCCTACGTGAAGTCCGAGCTGCAGAAGAGACACACGTGCACAGACCTGGGTGAATTGCGCAGCTACCTTGGCTTGCAGATCACCCGGGACAAAGCACGCCGCACCATTACCCTGACTCAGTCACACATGGTGCAGCAGGTCCTTCAGCGCTTCGGCTTCACGTACTCCTCGCCTCAGGCCACTCCTCTGCCTACTCACCACTCGCTCTCAGCTCTGCCTTCAGATGAGTCTGTAGAGTCGAGTGGCCCGTATCCAGAGCTTGTGGGTTGCCTCATGTACCTGATGACCTGCACACGACCTGACCTTGCATACCCTCTTAGCATTCTCACACGCTATGTTGCTCCTGGGAGACACCGACCAGAGCACATGGCTGCAGCGAAGAGGGTGTTGCGCTACTTGTGCAGTACGTCGGGCATGGGGCTAGTGCTTGGAGGGCGGAGTCCAGTGGTCCTCACTGGGCACGCAGACGCTTCTTGGGCTGACGACCAGGCTACGCAGCGATCGTCACAGGGTTACACCTTCAGCCTTGGTTCCGGCTCTGTCTCGTGGCGGGCTACTCGCTCGTCTTCTGTTCTCGGCTCCAGTTGTGAGGCTGAGATCTACGCTGGGGCCATGGCTGCACAGGAGCTTCGCTGGCTCACCTACCTGCTGACTGACCTCGGAGAGCCGCCTCGTTCTCCTCCAGTTCTGTACGTAGACAACAAGGCCATGCTGGCCTTGTGTGGAGAGCAGCGACTGGAGCACAGAACAAAGCACATTGCTCTCCGCTACTTCCTTGCTTGTGAGCTACAACATCGTGGACAGTTGCGGCTTGCGTACGTGGCCTCTGAGACCAACACTGCTGATGTTTTCACCAAGGCACTTCCGCCTTGTGATCATCAGCGCTTCTGCACTCAGCTGGGTCTTGTCCCTGTCTTGTCTCACTTGCTCACCTCTTGACCTTACTTGTACTGTTACATATATATATACGTGCTCTTGCTTGTCTAGCCTTATATATATATGTACTCCTGCATGTGAACTGGCCTTGTGGCCTTGAACTTGTGCTCCCAATGTGTGGTGACTTTGTGATCCACCCTGAGCTTTGCTTTGCTTTGCTTGACTGGTCTTGTGACCCCTTGTTCTCCCCCATTTTGCCTATGGGGGTGTGTTAGAACATTATAGCTTATGCTGTTGTGTAGGCTATAGTGGGGTATCCCATAGGGGGTACAACCCAATTAGGGTTAGTACTTGTACCCACTTCATTCATAGTTCATTCATTCTCGTTCTCACTTTCTCAGCTGATGCATGTGCGGAATCACAACAACTGAAGATCTGCGCGACATAGTAAAAGCATACCGCATGCCATGATCCCCCCTCTAATGCGGCGCAGACGAGGACATCATGCCAGCAGCATACTGCATCATGTTAGCATGCCAGTTAGGAAGCACACTTAAAGCCGAACCTGCCATGCTGCGTACCTCCACCTCCTCCTTCGCTTCTTCTAGAGAACCATCCTCACCAGGGGTCATGAATCCCCTAGACACATCCACACTAAAACCCCATGAAACCGTTTGTGGTTCGCTTGGGACTGGCAGCCCTGCTGTTTGTGGCCTAGCCAACGCTTGCTGCCCTTCCAACACTTGTGCCCCTGTTACTGCATACTGCCCTGCTGCCAACGCGTGCTTCCGTGCTGCCAATGCGTGCTGCCCTGCTGCCAATGCGTGCTGCCCTGCTGCCTGTGCTGTGGTTCCTACTGGAGTGAGACTCTGCTCCATGCCTGCATGAGAGGATGAACCCCTTGCTGCCACACCCACCACCACACCTGCCCCTCCGCCGTGTTGACCCTGTTGACCGCCACAGCCGTTTTTACCCACAGAGATTGTCCCGCCTCCTTGCTGTCTGCTTTCGTGAGGCGAATCCGCAGAGCTAGGCAGCTGGAAGTATCGATCAGATGGCCCCATTCCCATCGCCAAACGCTCAACCGTTCCCATCCTCGTCTCCACCGTGCCTCCTTCCTCCTCCATCGCTCCTTCCTCCTCCATCACTCCTTCCCCACCAGCAGTCTCTCTGCTTCCACTGCTTTCTTCCTCTGAAGTTATCTCCCATTCTTCCACTCCCTCCCTCCCTGCTGTAACACCAACCCCACTCCCTCCAGCCCCATCGTTTTCTTCTATCCGCCCCAGCCGCTGAGCAAACTGCTCCGCAAGATCAGAGGTCCACTCCCTCTCACCTTCTGTCAAGCCTTCAAACCCCATTTCATCAAACCCCATCTCCTCAAACCCCATTTCATCAAACCCCATCTCCTCAAACCCCATCTCCTCAAACCCCACGTCCTCAAACCTGCCCATATCTACTCCCAGTGCTTCATGTCCCAGCAACCCCTTTCCAATCACCGCAGCACTTGGCAAATTCCCTGGCAGTATTGAGCGGCGATCCATGGTTGCATTACTAAACATAGGATTTTCTTCTGAGGTGTGAGTGCGGGGGATGGCATGGAGACGATTGCTGGTGAGTGCAGCTTCAGGGATGGAAATATCAGCAAAGGTGGATGGGAGGGCAGAGACAGAGGCGGAGGAGGCAGAGGCAGAACGCGCAGAGGTGGAATTAACAGAGATGGAAGGGGCGGAGGAGGAGGAAGGGGCAGCTAAGCTCGAGCTAATACCGCTTACAGTAGAGCTTCTTTCAGGAATGTATACTCCTGCTTTGCTCCCGCTATCACTGCCTGCTGATGTGTCCGTTGCTAATCCTATGACTCCTTCCTTCCCCCTCCTCCTCCTCCTCCTCCTCCTCCTCCTCCTCCTCCTCCTCCTCCTCCTCCTCCTCCTTCTCCTCCTTCCCCTCCTACCAGTGTAGCTGACACTAGCTTTATGGCCTCTGATCCTGCACCTGCATCGCCTATTGATTCTGTCACAGCCCTATTTGATCCCTCTCCAAACGGTCTCCGAGGTTTCACAAAGCTCGCTGCTACTCCCTTACTTGATCCCACTCCGAACGGCCTGTGAGGCACCGCAAAGGCCGCTTGTCTAGCTCTTCCCTCTCTCTACATTGTCTGACTCACACCTTCTCCCACCAACCCCCCTGCTGCAGTGTCTTCACCATATACTACCTCCTTCCCTTTCCTCCCATAGCTCCTAGCACTACTGCCCTCCGTAACCTGCGTTACTACCCCATGTGATTGCACTCCCATGCCAGTATCTCCACCCTCCTGCCCTGCAACCCTTACTGCTATTTCAATCCTAGTCGGGGCACCCAATGAGGCTGTAGGATCCAAACTCAGTACCACTACCCCTCCCCCTTTCTGAAGAAACCTTCCTGGGAAGTTAAGCTTCGCCTTTGCTCCTCGGATTTTGAGAGCAGCTTCATCAAACGCGCGAGCGGCCTCCTCTGCAGAAGGGAACGTGCCCAACCACTTGCGGACCCCGGTATTGGTGTCTTTAATCTCCGCAATGTAACGAAACTCTCCTCCCTTCCGCACTCCCCAGTACTGCCCTGGCTGGTTGTAGTTGTGGCTGCGCGGCAATCTAGTGCGACTAGCTGCTCGCCCTGATGACCTTGCGCAAGTTGCAGCCTCACCTTGTTCTACTTGTCCTTGCTGCAATTTTGGCTGTAGCAGTGGCTGTAGCTGTGATGAGAGCTGCGGTATCTGGTGTGGTGGTAGCTGCATTGGTTGAGCTTGTAGCTGTGGCTGTGGCTGTAGCAGCATCTGCTCCTGCATCTGCTGCTGCGACACCTGCTGCTGTGAGAACTGTTGCTGTGAGAACTGCTGATGTGAGAACTGTTGCTATGAGAACTGCTGTTGTGAGAACTGCTGTTGTGACAGGGAGACCTGTTGCTGTGGCATCTGCTACTGTAACATCTGATGCTACAACATCTGCTCTTGTTGCATCTGTTGCTGTGACACATGCTGCTGTGACATCTGCTGCTGTGACCGTCACAGTGACGGTGAGATCTGTTGCTGTGGCATCTGTTATTGTGAGATCTTCTGCTGTGGCATCTGCTGCTGTAGCAGCAGCTGGTGTGACATATGATGCTTCGGTTTCTCCTGCAGTGCCATCTCCAGTCGTGACATCTACTACAGGTGTGACATCTGCTGTGGCATCTGTTGCTATGATATCTGCTCTGGTTGCATCTGCTGCTCTTGAATCTGCTTCTGTGACATCCACTGTTGCTGCAGTGCTCCAACTACAAGTAGTAGTAAATCAGAGATGGTGGACCAAGGCTGCTCTGAAAACAGTGGCTGCTATTCTGAGAACATCTGAAAGTCTCCCACCGTGGAATCCCAAGAGTATTATGCAGTCTGACGTTGTACAAAGACAAACAACCAAAAAAAAAAAAAAAAAAAAAAAAAAAAAAAAAACAACAACAACACCACCAACAGCAACTGCCGCAGTTAGATGTGACTGATTTTGAAGGCCAGTCGATTTTGAAGCCAACGATGCTGCTGCTAGCTCCGCGCACCACTTGTGCTGTTGGAAGCCGATTGGCAAGGACGAGGCTAGATTGATAAGTTGCCCTAATCTACCAATTCTGCTACTAGCAGGAACTGCCTGCTGTGCAGGTTTCAAATAGAAATTATTGAAGTTATTATTGAATAACTCCGCGTGGAATCCAAAGTTTGCAGGTTTGAAGCAATGCAGCCGAAACAGTCTGACATGAGTTGTGGCTAGAACAAACGACTGTAGTGACTATGAGAAGCCAAGCACCTCTTGTAGCACAACTCCAAGCTAGAATGGGCTGGACAAGTAAGATTGAATGGGTTGCTGCTTATCCCAACTTGTTTCTGCTGCTCCACTTCAAAATGAGCTCGGTTTTTGAGTTTACCATGGTCAGGGTGGAAGTGGAACCTTTGTTGGATGCAGTTCTTTTGCTTTCCCGTCACGAGCACGTATCAGGGTTCCAGATGCACGCACACATGTAACACTGCAAGTGGCTAGGCTCTCCCACTGGTTCTACACTTGTGCTGTACACGTACAGTTTTTGCCGTCACGTCACGGAGACGTTTCAGGGCTATCAACGCAGTTGATTCATCATTGGCCAAATTAATGACGGACCGACAACTCCGCCTAAATTAACGGCCAGCGAACCGTCTACAACTGCTTTCGGGTAGACAAAAATATAAACCCCTCTCGGATGGAATGTTGTTTAGGGAGGCATAAACCCTAAACACAATGCGGAAGTGTTTAGGGTTGATGCCCTGAACTATCGGTTCAATTGTTCGTGATGTGTATTATTTTTCGATGGCAAGAACCAAGGGATTCATCAACCCTAAACACCATGTATTGGGTGTTTAGGGTTGATGCCCTTTCGCCATGGGTTAATTATTTTTCGAGAAGGTAAAAACCCAGAATAAAGAGTTACTTTTCTCACTTAAAGTGAAACCAGCTGGCCTCTAGCGTTCTGACAGGTGGTCCAATGACCATCGAACTGCGTTGAAAGGAGCTATGAGCGAAGAAATGGCTGAAACCATGTGTCAGAAGCTACAGTGCTGCGCTTTTGGCGTGTAGTTTCAGTAAGTGTGCGTGATCAACTCAAAACCCCAGGGTAGAGATTTCGCGCGTTGTTTGCAAGCAGGGCTGTCGCTTGGTCTGGGCCCAACCCGTACGAAGCTGAGCTGCCTCGAAAACAGCCCTGAGCTATCCGGGAAGCGGACGTAAATTCAGGGCATTCATATTTCCCGCTCTGGGAATGATTGCGTAAAAAAGCTAAGTTATTCAAGCTAGACCTACACTAAAGAGCAGAGTGAGCTTGAGGAACGTGGGGGGTTGGTGTTGTTGGGGGGAGTGGGAGAGGAACAAGTTCGCGCTCTAAGGTCAGGAAGGGGGATGGCTCTTATGGAAGTCCGGGGAGCCCAAAAACCTGTCCGTTGGGAATCCGGGCTGGGGAAAAAACCAACCCTGAAAATCTCTGAGCTGAGCGAAAACTAACCCTGAATTCTCAGGGAAAACGGACAAATGTCCGTGAATCGACAGGCTTGTTTGCAAGATGTGTGGCATGAAATGCTCTGCTGACAGGGCGACGCCTTTGTGGCGTGATTTTATTGGCTTGGTTTTGCGTGTTCTGCGCGTTCGGCTTGGCCTCGCCTTTTCGTGGTTTAGGGGCGTTCCACTCCACCTGATTTGGAATCGGCTCAGCAGACGTGGACACTGTCCACTGGACAGTGCTCCTCCAGCAACCTTATTGAAACTGCGGGAAATGGAGACTACACCCCCTGAACCGTGCCTAACTCGCAGGCTAATCGTGCCCTATTAGAGTCGGATAAATAAAGCACTCTGAAACAAAACTTATCCATCCTAAACCGTGTTCTTTCAATCCGGATGTCAGTACGGCGTAAGCGTCACGGGACCGGCATCAGTCGTGACGTGGAAGTAACAGTTTTCAACACTCTCGACGCTAGCTGCCAATACGAAGTCAGCATTGACGTGTACTCTACACGCTCGACGCTCATAAATTTCAGGTGGCAAATGTCACGTGGATAACGCTAGGATGCACCGCAGGCTCATTCGCCTCGCCTGCTTAGGACGTGGTGAAAGTGGAGAATCGATCGCCAAAGGATCGTTTTTTAGCACGGTTATAAAAGGCTGTGTACATTTCGTGTCCAAAATGCAGGGTTTTATGCGGTGACCGAATCGATCTACCCCCGATCGAGCACTCCCACCGCCTCCTTAGTTTTTCGCCAATGCAAGTGTACTACTGTACTCCGATGTATACAGTTCGTGTACATTGACGAACTTTGCACGTGTACAGTTCAAGGGTAAAACGACAGATGATGTACGTGTTACAATTCACTTCCATACGAACCGAGTCATTCCATCAAGAACATCCATCGAGGATCTGACAAGATAGCATTGGGAAATACCAGACATTGTCCATTTAGACTCGGCCTGTCCAGGCCTCAGTATCTAGGAGTCATCATGAAGTTCCGCTCGTTGCGCTTCAGCGTGGTTCTTTCAACGCGCCAGGCGTGAGCATCTTCGCGTTATTTGTTGATCCCAGCCTCACTGCTAGCCACAAAGGCCCTCCGTCGTTTGGTCCTTCCTTCCTGGAAGTTCGGCTATTTCTTTCATTCTCGGCGGTTCTCTTGGAATCGACCACCGGGAATCGTGGCGATGGTGCAATTGCGACGATATTGACGTCACCAGGAGGATAGGTCGCGGAAACGGCCCGTCGTGTGCTGCTGGAAGAAGCGACGGTAGCGGCGCTTGTCAGATTTATATGACTTAACTGCTGTAGGCTATAGTGGGGTAGCACATATGGGGTACAGCTTTCTAGGGTTTGTACTTGTACCCAACTTTCCCTTAGTCATTTTTTCATTCCTCGTGATTTTCACATGGTATCAGAGCGGGTTCCCTCGTGGGAACGCTTCATAGGGCCCACCCTATCGAATTTTTTTTTCCTGCCCGGAGCGCGCTTCGCTCCTGCCCGAGTCGCGCCCCGCGTGCCCTCCCTACCGTCGCGC